CTTTGCTATAATGGACATGTAGGAAAATTGTTTATCCAGAAATGAAAAATAACCCATACATAGGAAATTTTAAATATATTTTCTAAATGTGTCAAGAAATAAATAATAATGAAAATCAGGAAACAAAAAAAGGACATTAATGAAAGTAGAATCTTGGGGCTGGAGAGATGGCTCAGTGGTAAAGAGCACTGGCTGCTCTTCAAGAGGACCCAGGTTCAATTCCCAGCACCCACATGACAGCTCACAGCTGTCTGTAACTCTAGTTCCAGGGGATCTGATTCTGGCATACATACTTGCAGGCAAAACATCAATGTATATAAAAGAAATATTTAAAAGAGAAAAAAGAAAGAAAGTCGAATCTCGCCACAGGACAGGAGACCTGTGCTCCTGGGAGGACTTTGGTGGCTTAAAACAGGACTAACAAGCCGCTGGGCCGAAGGAGCTGCTGTTGAAAGGTAAGCTGGGCATGGTGGCCCGTGCCGTAACCTCAGCACTTGGGAGGCAGAAGCGGCATCAAGTTCAAGGTCGTCCTCAATGCTGTACAGCATGTTTGTGACCAACGTGGGGTATGTGAGACCCTGCCTTGGATCAGAACCCAGACAAAAAGGTGATGGTGAATGATAGTTTGAGGGGATTATTTCAGAGGCATTGTATGTCTGTGTGAATATATGCCACATGCTGGGGGTGCCCATGAAGGCCAGAAGAAGGCATCAGGTCCTCTGGAACTGGAGTTAGGTAGCTGATTGTTTCCCAGTGCGGGTTCTGGGGACTTTTAACCACTGAGCCATCTCTCCACTCCCACTAATTTTACATTTGTGTGTGTATGTGTGTGTGTGTGTGTGTGTGTGTGTGTGTGTGTGTGTGTGTGTGTGTGTATGTGCACTCCTTTGAACTTCAGAGGGACAGCTGCAGGAGTTGGTTCTCTCCTTCCACTCAGTGGATTCTGTGGATCAAACTCATGCTGTAAGGCTTGGTGGCAAGCTCCTTTGCCTGCTGAGCCATCTTGCCATTCCCTTTAAGGGAATTCTTTAGATCAAAGAAAAATAGTCCCAAATGGGAATAGGAAATTTGGGGAAGAATAAGGAACAAAGGGGGAAAGTGTGGGTAAATATTATGTATGAATAACAGGGTTTTGAGGGTTTAAAAAATGTGTGGAGATGTGGGAGTATAGCTGAGTGGTAGAACGTCTGTCCGATGTGCATGAGCCCCTGGATCCAGGCTCCAGCACTGCAGGAATATAAAAATAAAAGCACAATTACAATGCTTGACCACAGGAAGACCATGAGGAACGGGTAAATATAGCTAATGTGCTCTAAGCTTTCAGAGTGAGCATATTTATACTAAACCCAGACAAAGGCAACAGGAATAAGCACAACTATATTAGTAACCATATGAAATGGATCAAATACTCCAAGTAAATACCAGGATCGTAAATTATCAAGATAGATAAAAATATCCACCCCTATGCTGCTTCTGAAAATCTTTACATAAAAGACACTGGCATGTTAGAAATGAAAGGCAGAGGAAATCTAGTATCCGACGTAGACCAAGTAGATCTCAAGGCAAGAGTGAGACACGAGGGATGTGTTCTCACCACAGAGAAGGCACCTGTCAGAAGAGTATATGGATTTAAATCCTGTTAGTGTTCAATGAGACACAAGGGATGTGTTCTCACCACAGAGAAGGCACCTGTCAGAAGAATATATGGATTTAAGTCCTGTTAGTGTTCAGTGAGACACGAGGGATGTATTCTCACCACAGAGAAGGCACCTGTCAGAAGAATATATGGATTTAAATCCTGTTAGTGTTCAGTGACTAGCGTGGTTTCAGAACACAAAATGCAGAAATAGAACTGGAAGGAGACGATGGACCAGTCCGCAGTAATAACAGTCAGCACGCTTCTCCCAGATACGTATAAAACAGGCACACAGGCATCAGTAACGACATGCAAGGCAGAAATAGGTGAGCAGCCCCTGCCGACACAGCAGAGCGCTGCACACAAGATTCGAACTGTATTTGACACTTTTAACTGAATGTGGGGAGTTTATCCAAACTGACAATTAAGCCAACTTCACCGAAGTCTTGAAATATTGAGAATATGTCATCTGGCCACACTGGATTAAGATCGAAATTAATAATAACTATAAAAAGTGATTTAGGCCGGGCGGTGGTGGCGCACGCCTTTAATCCCAGCACTCGGGCGGGAGGCAGAGCCAGGCGGATCTCTGTGAGTTCGAGGCCAGCCTGGGCTACCAAGTGAGTTCCAGGAGAGGCGCAAAGCTACACAGAGAAACCCTGTCTCGAAAAACCAAAGGAAAAAAAAAAAGTGATTTAGTGCACTTAAAAAAAATTCACGTTAGGCTGGGCGGTGGTGGCACACGCCTTTAATCCCAGCACTCAGGAAGCAAAGCCAGGCAGATCTCTGTGAGTTGGAGGCCAGCCTGGTCTACAGAGTGAGATCCAGGAAAGGCACCAAAACTACACAGAGAAACCCTGTCTCGAAAAACCAAAAAACCAAAACAAAACAAAAAAACACACATGTTCAAAGAGTAGAAATTAGGAAGTGCTTGCAACTCAGTTGATGAAGATGGGATGGAGATGCACTTTGAGATTTCTTGGAACATTTGCCTGCCATGCACAAGCTTACCTCTTGGCAGCCAGGAAATGGTGTGTGGGGAACCAGTGTCCCAGGATCCTTTTCAAAGGCACCCCCATCAGTTAATTTCATCAGGTCCTACCTAGTGGGAATCCACACCCACTCACTCACCTCCAGCACAATAGGTGAAGACCAAGCCTTTAAGCATCTAGGCCTTTGGAGGTGCTTCCTGAATCCAAAGCAACCAACCAGGGACCTAGGTTTGTACTTTAAGAAGCCAGTCAAAAACAGTAAACTAGCCGGCCGGTGGTGGCGTACACCTTTCATCCCAGCACTCAGGAGCCAGAGCCAGGCAGATCTCTGTGAGTTCAAGGCTAGCCTGGTCTACAGAGCAAGATCCAGGAAAGGCACCAAACCTACACAGAGAAACTCTGTCTCGAAAAAAACAGAAAACAAAAACAGTAAACTAAAACTAAACGAAGAAAACAAGATAAAAATGTTCCTAAATGAAGAAAACACATATTTCCCCAAGAACACTAAGGAGCTTTGTTTCTGTCATGAGGGGGCAACTGTCTGATACTTCGTCTTGCTTGGTGACAAATTGGCCTGAGGAGTGTCTGAGTGGAGAGTCAGCCTGAGGCCAGCCTCAGGAGCAGAGGTGAGCCTTACACTCACAAAGGGCTTCTACCTAGAGGCAGCTGTTGAACCACAACAGTGACCCAAAGAAAGCCTGGAGTTTGCTGAGGTGAAGTGTGGATAGAAGGAAGCTTGGAGAGGCTGAGGTAGCTTGAATTGCGGAGACAGAGCACTAACAAAGGGAGAACCCTGTGGGAAATAAAGGGAAGCTCCGGCAGGTCTGTTTGTGGCAGTCCTGCAGAATCTTGACTGGAAGCTTCCTCCTCAGCATCACCAATCTTCCTTAAAATTGCCCTGCAGTCCAGGTCTCTGCCCCTCCACGTTTCTCTCTCTCAGCCAAACATGTTCTGTAGTGTGGTTCCTCTACCCGGCACCATGGCTCCCTTCCCAGTTTTCTTACAGGTATCTCCCCTGGCAGATCTCCCGAATTCCTAATTCTCTCTTTCAATCTATTCCTCAGACTGTGTGGGCCAACACAGTGATGCCAAGAACAAAAAAATGTTAAGCTAGGATCTGAGACTAGCTGGCACACCTTGGGTTGGGCAGAAAGGACAACATTTTGATTTGTCACATGCACCATAAATAGATCCTGGCACAAACTGGAGCTCCACAACCAAGTATTTCATAGTTGATGACCTGAAGGGTGTTCTGTTAGGAATTCTCTGTCGGATGCGATGAGGAAGGCCTGAGAAAGACAGACGGGAAAGGAAGACCACTACAGGGAAAGAGTTGACGGCTCACTGAGCTGTGCTGACCCTAGCACAGGGGCACAGGCTGAAAGCTCTTTTGAAGATTTATTTATCTGTGTGGGCTCATGCATGCACGGGTCCACGGAAGCCAGAAGACTGTGTCAGACCCCCTGGATCTGGAGTTACAGGTGGTTTTGAGCTGCCCAGCATGGGTGCTAGAAACTGAACTCGGGTCCCCTGCAAAGAGTAGCAAGTGTCCTTAAGTGCCAAGTCATCTTCCCAGCCCCAGACTCAGAGTCCTTAAGGAGTTGGGGCTGGATGTCAAAGCCAGTGGCCTTGATGTCTTAGGAAGTCTGAACAGAAGGATGGATTCAGCTGTGCAGGAGGGGGGTATGTGTAATTGTTATGGTTGCAGGCCTTCAGGGGCTCTGAATGCCCAGCACACCAGTAGAGGTAAAGCCCAGAATGCAGAAACAGAATGGGAAGCCAAGTGTAGTGGTGCATGCCTTTAATCCCAGCACTCGGAGAGGCAGAGGCAAGTGGATCTCTGAGAGTTCCAGGCTGGCCTGGTCTATAAATTGAGTTCCAGGGCAGCTAAGACTGTTATACAGAGAAACCACTGTGTCCCACTCCACCACCAAAAAAAAAAAAAAAAAAAAAAAAAAAAAAAAAAAAAAAGGAGGAGGAGAAACACAGAATGGGAACATCTGGGTGGATGTGCATAAGGATGCTGGCGCTGGTGCAGCGGCCCTTGGTTCCTGTGGGCTTGTGGAGGTGGCACAGCTTTCCTTTGTAAGAACTAGCTCCTCCACCTTGCTGGGTGCTGCAGATCTGCTTCAGTTGCTGCCCTGATTCATACTGCGATGTCAGTGACTTAGGTTGAATTGTGATGTAGCTCCATTGAAACCATCCTGGGCCTGATGAGGAAAGAAAGAGACAACAGAAGAATTAAGTTGCTTGCATGTGGCAGGAGCCAGGGGAACAAGAACGCTTGGAATTAATTTTTTAGGGTGTTTAATCAGAGATGAGAATGTACCCCTAAATAAAGACAATTCATTGACTTTGACACATTTTCCCAGAATGTAGGTCATAAGGCAGATCCACCACTGAGGTGACTCTAAGAAGCTTGGGAAAAGATCTCGGCACTCGGGGGAATGGAAAGGCCTGAATTGGCGTTTATAAATGGTGGAGGGAGTTGAGTAGGCATGCTAGAATACATGTACTGTGTAAAGCCAGATGCCCAAACAGAGAACTGTTCCACATGAGGCTACAGAAGGCAGCACCCACTCACCGAGGCCATTAAGGAAGTCCCGCCACACAGCAGTGCAAGCCTTGAATGCTGAAAACCATAGCAACAGACACTGATGCTTTCCCAGAGAAGACCAACCAAGTCCTTCATGTCAGCCTCCTCTGTCCTGGGAGAACTTGGATTTCATACTCATGGGGACAGTATAGAGCCTGTGTGTAGCTGTGTCTTGACTGCATGTGGATTCTTACCTGGGGTTCGTAGAATAATTAATCCCTGGATATGGAATCCCACACAACCCAGCACTGGACCTCTTCACAGTGAAGGAGGTAGGGAGTGCTCTTGATCATGGTGTTCACTGGTGCTGTCACATGGAGTCCCACCTAAGGCATCCAGCCTTGTGGAATGCTGGGCCAGCCTTTATACGCCAGAGCAAATCTATGACAAGAATGCTGGGCTATTCTGTGGGCTGTGCATTAAGTCAGAGACCTTTTAGAGTGCTGGGTCCCCAGCAGGCAGGATACTTGAGTCTGGGAATCTCGGAATGGAACCAGAAGTAGTTCCACTGACCATCACTCCCAACATTGGGGTTGACACCCCCAATTTAGAGGGCTTTGTGCTCCCATACCTGTAATCTTGGGCTTTGGAGACTTGGAATTCCTTATCTCCAGAAGGCACACTGCTGTCAGGTCAGCAAGAGTCCCATTTAAAGTTACAGCTGCCACGGCGTTCCTTGTGTAGGGACCGGCAGACAGGAAGAAAGTCACCGTTCTGATGGAGAGAGAGCATGTTGCTGTGGTCAGCCAGATGAGGTGATCAGCTGTGACACAGACAAGACAGAGTGGTGTGTGTGCTGAACCCAAAGTCACCGTGTCCGTGCCTCTTGCTATTACTGCACACTTCCGGTAACTACCAATGAACACTTGTAGCAGCCTCCAACTGAGAAGATACACTTGCCAAGAGAGTCGGACCACCTAGAAATGGAGGTTTCCGTACCATCACATTTGCCCTGAAAGCTACTAAGGACACAGCTGAGTCAGTTCCATGGGTCATGAGAAGGCTGAGGAACTAGCTGCTGGCCTGAGATGGGATGTCACTTTCCTGAGTTCCCCTCACGAATAGGGTAATGGGAACCATGGACATGCCCCTCTCCACATCTGGAGTAGATGCATTGTGGTGGGTATTTGGAGGCCTCCAAAATGTACCTCTTGGATTCTGGGGGAGAACATTGTTGCCTGATGGCCTCGGCTGCTGCACTCTGCGGCTCATCACTACATTTTCTCCGAGGCCACACTGCCTGTGTTCATCTCTGACTATGTCTTCCACTTGGCCTGCCTGCCTTCCACAAGGGTTGGCTCTGCATTGCAGCCGTACCCTTCCGGCCGCCCCTGGCTCCTTTCCCACTGTCTTACTGCAGTTCCTTTGACAAATGTCTTAGGTCAAGTCCTCTTCTTGCCATATGGCTTTTTGTACACTCAAGCTGACAAACTCTGCCAAGGGTGGAATTTACAAAGCCAACCAAAGAATCAAAGACTATGCTTGCCTTGTATGCATGAGACCCTGAGCTGATATCCTCCAACACCCCAGATCCAAACAGAACTTTCTAGAGTTAAAAATGTAATAGCTTAATACAAAAGAAGAAAGAATGTATCTCCTAAGACTGCGGTAGAAAGCGTCCAAATTAAGTAATAAAGATTGAAATGAAATGAAACAAAATAAAATAACAAAACTGGACGGGGAGTGAAGTTGGGACAATATTTAGGTAACATTCTCTTGAATTGCAGAAAGAAGAGAAAGGGCAGAAAAAATGATGGCTGAAATGTTTCCAAATGTGAGAAAAACTGTCCATCTGTCTATCTGGAGAGATTTAAACTGCTAAGAATTAAGAGTATTAAAATGAGCACAAATCACAAGATATGGAGGCACTCATCTATGACCATGTCACTTTGAATGTGACTGATTTCAGAAGCTGTGTGGTGTTGGCCCTCGAGGATACTTGGATGGATGAAGGGGATATGCCACGCCACAGGAGGTGTGTGGTGAAACACCAGGGCTGACCAGGAGGTCTGGTGCATGAAGGGAAACCAGGCCAGACTGTTTACTATGGCGTCTTGGGAAGTAACAGGAGAGATGGGGTGAGATATTTTAGGATGGCGGTTTGTCTTAAGACAGGGTCTTGCTGTGGCTGACTTGGTACTTGATACACAGCCCAGGTTGGCCTTGAACTCGTGAGCCTCCTGTGTCAGCCTCCTGAGTGCTGGGAATACAGATGTGTGCAATTTCCTTGGCTAGAATTGGCTGGTTTGAGTCATTTTGGTGGATTTGGGGTGATGCGGCTCTCTTGCGTTGTCTCCTGGCTGGTGGGTGTGGTTACAGTGGTAGAGAATGCTCTGAGTGTAAGAGGTTGGAGAAAAGGTGTCTGAGCATAGGCTGTGGGGGAGTTGTTTGCCCTGAATGGCACAGTTTCAAGTGAGGCCTGCACTCTCTCTAGGAATTGCCTCAAGCTGGGACAGGAGTCGAGCAATAGTCCCTTGAGGATAAGGAAGACTGTCGTGTCAAACATCAGAAATACAGAAAATATAGTCTATTGAGAGGCTGTGGAGAACATCTAAAGTGGTGGAAAACAGCTTCCAAAATGAAAACATCTATCTTCAAATCATATATCTGATAAGAGACTGACATCTTCATAGAATATATGAAGAAATCTACAACTCAACATAAGTACTGTGTTAGTTGGTTTTTATTTTGAAGAGGGACCCTCAGTGAGGAGTTTCCTGGATCACATTGGTCTTGACTGATGATTGACATGAGCAGACCTAACCCATAATGGGTGGCACCACCCCTAAGCCAGCCAGTAAGCTGCCTTCTTCTGTGACTCCTGTACCAGGTCCCTGCCTGGGGCTCCTGCTCTGACTTCCCCCAGTGATAGGCTGTTTTCAAAAAGGATTAGCTGAAATTGACCCTTTCTTTCCCAAGGTGGCTTTTGTATGTTTGTTTGTTTTTGTTTTTTCTTATAGTGTTTGTCACAGCTCAGAAAGCAAACTCAGACAACTTATCTGATTTTAAAAATGAGCAAAGGACACCGACCCTATCAGACTAGGGCCCTATCCTTACAACTTCAGTTAGCCTTAATTACTTCAGCAAAAACCCTGTCTGCAAAACCGGTCCACATCTGACAAGAGTGGGGACGGGTGGGTTACAGCTCAGCCCATGCAAATTCCTTTGCTCACTTAATGGACGTTTATTTTCTCGTAATTCTGGAGGCTGGGGGACCCATGATCAGTGTCAGCCTGGAAAGGGACTGGTAAGGGCTCTCCTGGTTAGCAGGTGTTCACTGTTCACGGTGTACTCACATGGCCCTTCCTCAGAGCATGCTCAGTCGTGTTCTGTTGTTAATCTACACCTTGAATGATTCTGTGTATGAGTGTGGGTTATGGAAACCCACACTCATTTAGACAGGACCTGAATAGACCTTTCTCTGAGAAAGATGTACAGGTGGGCAGTATCTTCAGTAAGCTCAATATTTTTAGTTCTCAGAGAAACACACATCAAGCCTCAAATTGGGTACAACTCTACCATCCCCTAGGCTAGACAGAATTAGAAGGTCAGTTAATGACAAACACTGGTCAGAACCTGGAGAAACTGGAATCTTCATACACCCTGCAGATGGGTTATAGAGTGATTCGAGTGTTTTGGAAAAAAGTCTGGTCAGTCCTCAACTGCTTGCAGAGAAGTTCTACTCCTGTATGTGTCCAGTAAGAAGTGAAAGTATGCGTCTACAAAGAAACAGGAGCTAAACTGTGTCAAACAACCCATGCAATAGAGTAACATTTGCTCCTAAAAAGAGTAAAGAGGCTGCAGGATGGCTCAGCAGGTAAGATGCTTGCTGTCCAAGCCTGGTGACCTGAGTGTGATCCCCAGAGGGAGAGAATCAACTTCATAATTGTCTTCTGATCCCCAAATGCATACCGTGATACATGTACCACCCCTCCACATCACACGTGTGTTCACACACACACACAATAATAATAGCATTTTAAGGAACTTACTGATGCATGCTACAATATGGAATAACCTCAAAAAAAAAGTGAAAGAGAGCCAGGTTTGGTGGTGCACATTTTTAATCCCATCACTCAGGAGGCAGAAGCAGGTGGATGTCTGAGTTCGAGGCCAGATTGGTCTACAGAGTGAGTCCGGGGGCAGGCAAGGCTGCAGAGTGATGCCTTGTCTCAGAAAACCGAAAAAAAAAAAGGAAAAAAAAAAGAAAGGAAGGAAGGGAGAAAAGAAAGTTACAAGAGCTACTTACTTATTATTACAACTCTGTTCATGTGAGGTGTCCAGTTTAGGGAAATGTAGCAGGGCAGAATACAGGTTAGCAGTTGTTTTTGGCTCAATATAAATGCGATGTGTGTGGAAACTGATGTTCCAACCATGTAAATGGTTACAGTAGATATAAATGGTTCAGGAAGGAAAAGAATATGATCAAAACAGTATGCAAAAATTTTAAATACAGCCGGGCGGTGGTGGCGCACGCCTTTAATCCCAGCACTCGGGAGGCAGAGGCAGGTGGATCTCTGTGAGTTCGAGGCCAGCCTGGTCTACCAAGTGAGTTCCAGGAAAGGCGCAAAGCTACACAGAGAAACCCTGTCTTGAAAAAAAGAAAAAAAAATTTTAAATACATAAATGGTTCAAATACTCCGGCAACAAAACCGAGAATTATCCAGTTGAAAAAGAGTACGATTCACTAGTAGTTAGACTACGAGAAACATGCTTCGGTGTGAAGATGCATTATAAAGGGAAAGGCAGGGGAAAGCATGCTGACAGCAGTCATTGGAGAACTGAAGTGTCTTATCTGACTGAGTCTAGTCCTGGACAAAGAACGCAGCGATAGAGATTTGCCAATGATAAACAATCCATTCTTAACATGCAACTATTTCAAATGCAGATGCACTGTGAAGAGAGCTTGAAGATGCACAGAGTGATGCTGGCAGCCGAGTTCATAAACATAACGTAGTTCAATCCTTTGTGTTTGGACCACTGAAGCCATGGCCTCACACATGCTGGAGAAGTGCTCTACCGGCAGTGACAACCTTTTCTTTTGAAATAGAATCTCCAGCCGGGTGGGAGTGGCACACACCTTTAATCCCAGAACTCGGGAGGCAGAGCCAGGTGGATCTCTGTGAGTTCGAGGCCAGCCTGGGCTACCAAGTGAGTTCCAGGACAGGCACCAAAGCTACACAGAGAAACCCTGTCTTGAAAAAACCAAAAAAAAAAAAAAAAAGAAAGAAAGAAAGAAAGAAAGAAATAGAATCTCATTAAGTGCCAAGGCTGCCCTTGAACTCATGCCTAGACAGGCTTTGATCTCATGCTCCTGCCTCAGCCTCCCAGGTAGCTAGGATTACAGGCCACACCCCCTTCAGCGCCCTTTCAAACAAGTGATAGAAAAGTTAGTGGGGACCCAAGTGATCTGAACAAACCAGCCAGTTTGAATAGCAGGTGCTTCTAGAATACATACTACACCCAGACAGCTGAAATACACATTAAAAAATTCTTATTTTTATTTATATGCGCTTTATGTGTCTATGTACATGTATATTTGCCTGGAAGTGCCACAGTAGCTGGGAGAGGGCATCAGATCCCTTGGAATTGGACTAACAGGTGATTGTGAGCCACCTAATGTGGGTGCTGGGAATAAAATCCCAGTCTTCTACAGGAATAGCCAGTGCGCTTAATCACGGAGGCATCTCTCCAGCCCCAAGAACTACACTTTTAAAAGTGCAAATAGAACCTTTACCACATGGACCACTGTGCTGGCTAGTTTGTGCCAACTCGATACAGCTGGAGTCATTTTGGAAGAGGGAAGCTCAATTGAGGAATGCCCCACCTGACTGGCCTGTGGGACATTTCTTGATTGGTGGTTGATGTGGTAGGGCTAAGCCCACTGTGCACGGGGGAACCTCTGGAAGGCAGGCTAAGAAAGCAGGCTGAGCAAGCCAGGAAGAACAAGGCAGTAAGCAGCACTTCTCCATGGTCTCTGTGTCGGCTCCTGTCTCCAGGTTCCTGCCCTGACTTCCCTCAGTAATGGACTGTTGCCTGGAAGTGGAAACGAAATAAACCTTTGCTCCTTAGGTTGCTTTTGGGCATAGTGTTTTATCACAGCAACAGAAACCCTGAACTGAGACAATCCTGTATGGAAACATAAAGCAAATCTCAGTACATTTCTAAGGATTGCTACCATACAACTGCTTTTAAAGGAATTAATGAAGTAAAGTGGATGGGAGAAAGCCAGCCAGATGGCTCAGCAGGTGAAGGCCCTTGTGGCCATCCTAACAATCTGAGTTCAATCCCCGGGACCCACATGATGGGTTATCCTAGAACACATCTGAGCACATAACCATACACGTACAAAATAAATAAATGTCATTTAAAAAAGAAAATGGGGGGTGCATAAAGATGTTTCACTGTTTAAGAACACTGGGTGCTCTTCTAGAGGATCCAGTTTCCATACCCAGCTCCCACACGGCAGTTTACAGCCCTCCATAAGTTCAGGTCCAGGAAATCCAACGCCCTCTTCTGGATTCTGTGAGCCTCAGGCACACATGTGGTGCACAGATATACGTGCAAGCAATGCATCCATACACATAAAAATGAAATAAAAAAAATACTAAAAGAAGAAAAAGAAGGGGTTGGGGTTTTAGCTCAGTGGTAGAGTGCTTGCCTAACAAGCGCAAGGCCCTAGGTTCGGTCCTCAGCTCTGAAAGAAAAAAAAAGGGGGTTCGGGGAGAGGAGAGATTCAGCAGTATGTGGAATGACGGGATGTAACTGCAGATTCCACAGACATGAGGACTTGAGGGTGACCAGGCACTCATGTGGTGCAGACACAATGCAGGCAGAATGCTGTCCACAAAGCATGGTGTTAAAAACATAAAGGTCACCAGGCAGTGGTGGCGCACGCTTTTAATCCCAGCACCCGGGAGGCAGGGGTAGGCAGATCTCTGTTGAGTTCGAGGCCAGCCTGGTCTACAGAGCAAGTTCCAGGACAGGCTCCAAAACTACACAGAGAAGCCATGTCTGGAAAAACAAAAAACAAAAGCCAAAAAAACAAAAACCATAAAGGTGTCTAGTAAACTTTGTGCCAATAAATTTGACCCCAGAAGGGAACAGATTCCTTGGAAAAACAACACTGACAGAAGATTCAGAAAATCCAGGGAAGCCTTGGTCTGCTCTAAAGATTTTAAAAAGCTCTCCCTCAGGCCAGTGGGGCCGCTCTGGGAGCAGAGGCACTTACGTGCCACTAAGCCAGATGGCCTGCCTTCAGTCCCCAGAGCCCACATAGTGGAAGGAGAGAACTGACCCCTGCAGGTTATCTTCCGATCTCCACTTGTGTGCTGTGGCGTGCCTGAACACACACACACACACACACACACACACACACTAATAACTAAAAATAAATGCCTTAAAAATGTTTCTTAGGGGGCTGGAGAGATGGCTCAATGGTTAAGAGCACCGACTGCTCTTCCAGAGGTGCTGAGTTCAATTCCCAGCACCCACATGGTGGCTCACAACCACTTGTAATGAGATCTGGTGCCCTCTTCTGGCCTGCAGGGACTCATGCAGGCAGAATACTGTATACATAATAAATAAACAAACAAATAAATAAATAAATCTTTAAAAAAATATATTTCTTAGATCCAGACTGTGGTGTCACACTTCTTTAATCCCAGCACTCAGGAGACAGAGGCAGGTGGATCTCTGTGAATTCAAGGCCAGCCTGGTCTACAGTTCCAGGACAGCCAGAACTGTTACACGGAGAAACCCTTCTTGAAAAGCTCCCTTCCCCCCGCCCCTGCAAAAAAAAAAAATGTTTCTTAGGCCAAGCTTGGTGGTGCATGCCTTTAACCTGATCACTTGGGAGGCAGAGGCAAGCAGATCTCTGGTCTACATATGAGTTGTAGGCCAGCCAGGGCTACATAGAGACCCTCCCCTCCCCACAAAGTTTCTAGATATCATTCCTACATCTTTTTTTAAATTGCCAGTATGAATTTGACCCCATGTGAGAGCATCTACATCTAGCTGACCAGAGGGCCTGGAGCCCAAGTTTCTTTTCTTGTCAAGCAATCTTAACAGCTTCATATCAAGGTTGTGCTGATTTACCAAGGCTAGCTGAGTAGTGGACTGTGTATGGTTAGTCACAAGTATTCACTCCTTCCCCCAAAAAGATTGCATATGCCTGCCTTCCATCATGTGATTAGCAGAGATGCTACTTACTGGAAGAAGAAATACCCCTGTTCCAGCAGGCTGAGATTTGGCCCAATGACTTGCTTGGCCAGTGGGAGGTGGATGGATGTGACAAGTTTCTCATCTGAGCAGCAACTGTGAAGGTCATGGCGTCTTTTGCCAACTCTTTATCCTTGATAGTGGAACCTGAGAACAGCAAGTCCTAGACTGAGGTTGCTCCTTCAGCTTGGATCCTGAACAAAGAAACCACAGGGCCGAAAGCCATAGTTGCCCTCAGCCCAGAGAAGAGCCGCAGCAGATTCCCAGCTGACATGAGAAAACAGGACTCTCTCTCATCTTGAGTTCCTGCAACTTGAGGGTTATTTGACAACACAAAATAGCCAAATTACTGATAAGATTTATTGAGACAAGGTCTCATCATGTATCCCAGGCTGGCCTGGAACTTAGGATCTTCCTGCCTCAGCCTCCCAAGTGCTAACAGTATAGGCATGTGCTATCACACCCAGTTGCAAAGTTCAACTGATACTGAAAATATCCCTTAGGGTTGGGAGTATATCTCAGTGGGAGAGTGCTTGGCTAACATGTCAGAGTCCAAGGTTCAGTTCCCACTACTAAATGAAGTGTCCTTTTCTTAAAAAAGAAAAAAATTGACGGGCAATGGTGGTAAGAGCCTTTAATCTCAGCACTCAGAGGCAGGCATATCTCTGTGAGTTCGAGGCCAGCCTGGTCTACAGAGGACAGCCAGGGCTGTTATACAGAGAAATCCTGTCTTGAAAATCCAAATACGTAACTCAGTCCCTGGGGATGTGGAGAGGAGAAGCGGCTCAGCTCGTCAGAGCACATAGTGCTCCTGCAGAGGACAAGACTGTTTGCCAGCACCCACACCTGGAGGCTTGTGCTCCTCTGGCCTCCAAGGGCACCTGTGTGTGCATGTATACACACAGACACATAATCAAAAGTAAAAATAAATCTTTTAAAAACAATTATCTGAAAATTTTGTGTAACTTTGGTTACATCTCTTATTTCCATGATAAAAAACCCATCAATTAAATGAAGTTCTCTTGGTGAAAGCTCCCTCCCTCCCTCCCTCTTCTCCCCTTGTCTCTCCATTCTTTCTTCCCCATCTCTTTCTCTCTCCTTCCCTCTCCACCATCCCCTTCCCTCTCCTTCCCTGTCCACCATCCCCTTCCCTCTCCTTCCCTCTCCACCATCCCCTTCCCTCTCCACCATCCCCTTCCCTCTCCACCATCCCCTTCCCTCTCCTTCCCTCTCCACCATCCCCTTCCCTCTCCACCACCCCCTTCCCTCTCCTTCCCTCTCCACCATCCCCTTCCCTCTCCACCATCCCCTTCCCTCTCCTTCCCTCTCCACCATCCCCTTCCCTCTCCACCATCCCCTTCCCTCTCCTTCCCTCTCCACCATCCCCTTCCCTCTCCTTCCCTCTCCACCATCCCCTTCCCTCTCCTTCCCTCTCCACCATCCCCTTCCCTCTCCACCATCCCCTTCCCCTCTCCACTATCCCCTTCCCTCTCCTCCCCTCATAAGTCTATGTGCTAATCCTACACAAACTTCTAGAATTCAGTGATGCTATGTAATACTTGGGTGTCAATAGTCCCACTGCTAGCACAGCTGTGCTGGTGTGTCGGAGCATCCAGGGGAGTATCAAGTAGAGAAGAGAGCAGAAAACTGTGTGGTCACATG